CTTTTGCCTGATTTGGGATAGATCGCTTATGTTCGGGTGGGTGGGTGGAATTAAATCTGGAACTTCACCCAATCTAAGACTCAGAGGCCAAGGAGTTTCCGAACTCTGAAGTTTGGATTCCTGGATGTTGTCCAGTGAATCTAGCCCGTTGCCTGATTCTAAGTTCAGGTCTTGAGTTACATCCTCCCCTCTGCGGGTATCCCGCTTGGAGGGATCGGGAATACGGACGTAGCTAGTCCTTAAGATAGATGAAGAGTTGTCGCACTGTGCCTCTACCACGGCAACGTGATGGGTGACTTGGGGAGAATTAATTTCTCTTAGATCGGGTTTAAACCCAACCTGGTCATAATCCGTAGTGACCCCCAAGGCGGCGATGCGATCCAAGAGCTCGTTTACGAAAGAGAGCTCCATTGGATCTAACTGCTCGACGAGTTCCGAGTTGACGTGAAGATTGCTTTTGATGACCCGAGAGGTCACCGTCGGTGCAACGGCCGAATAGGCGGTCATGAGAAAACCGCCTAGCTGGAGAGTTTGACCGACAGCCAAGGCTCCCTTAGTAACGGCACCGTCTTTAAAGACGGGAAGAGGCATCCTTCCTGATTACGACGGCACAGAGGAACTCTCAATGAAAGCACCAATGTCGGTGTCAAAACCGGCGGATCTCGGGTAGGGGGTCCCGAACTGTGCGTCTAGGCCGGATGGTAACAGGAGGCAAGGAACACGATATTTTACCCAGGTTCGGGCCCTCTTGATGGAGGTAAAACCCTACGTCCTGCTTGATTAATATTGATGATATGGGTAGTACAAGAGTAGATCTACCACGAGATCGAGGCGGCTAAACCCTAGAAGCTAGCCTATGGTATGATTGTTGTATGATGAAGTTGTCCTACGGACTAAAACCCTCCGGTTTATATAGACACCGGAGAGGGTTAGGGTTACACAAAGTCGGTTACAATGGTAGGAGATCCAAATATCCGCATCGCCAAGCTTGCCTTCCACGCCAAGGAAAGTCCCATCCGGACACGGGATGAAGTCTTTAATCTTGTATCTTCATAGTCCTGGAGTCTGGCTGAAGGTATAGTCCGGCTACCCGGACACCCCCTAATCCAGGACTCCCTCAGTAGGGCCTTCAAGGCGAACTCAACCTTCACAAACTTCAGGGCGCACCACAACTTGGAAAATCTCAGTAACACATGCCGCCTAGGAATCTTCAATCTCCAAGTGTAACAAGATTGAAAGAGCCTGGGAGAAATTGCTCAAATGGTCAATCTCAAAAGAGGGAAAATGTTTGGATCTTCAAATAGCTTAGCTTCCTTCTCAAATATCTCGTCACTCCAATGGAAGTTTTGGGTAGTGACACCCCCCCTCAAAAATCTCTTCTATATCAAGAATCACTCAAATGGAGTTTTTTGGGGAGTGGGGAATTACTTGGGTGCTCAAATATGAAATCACTCAAATCGAGTTTTTTGAGGAGAGGGAAATTACTTAGGCGCTTAAATATGAAAATAACCTCAAAGAGGTACTCAGTATATATGACTATAAGCCTCAGGCAATTCAATCTCCCTTATTCCCGGATAGTCAGTCGAGTTAATACATCCATAACCTCGGAAAGAAGTATGCATCTAGATGGTTTGTTCATTCTAGGATAATCCGCCCTGGCTTCGAGAAGGTATGGACATACCAACTAGGCCCATCGACAAGCACAATCAACCTCTGGATAGTCCAGACATCATCCTAACCAAGTGAATCCAGATAGGAGGCCAGATACAAAACCACACACTACAAGCCTAGTGCTCATCTTTATTGCTCGTGTGGTGGTGATTCACGTGTCATGTCCTTGTTGAATGCATTACTTCAGATTCTGCTTAGGCGTGCTTTTTGGGGGTAAGAACTCAAGATTTGACATGCATCGATTGGATCCCGCGATGGTAGCCCTTGAGCGTTGTTGCCTTCTTGAAGGCGTTTTCAGAGAAAACTTGTCATAGCTCGTATGTTGTAAGGACGATGAATGTCGTTGCTGGTCTGTCGCAAGTCGTCGGCTGTGTCGGCAATGTCTAAGTTAGGTCTTGATATTTTGTTGTTGTAAAAGTTGGGTGCAGTTGATATCATTTCTCCCTCAAATCTTCCTAAAACCATTTCAATTTTCTTGAGATTCAAGTAAGCCTGACAAAGGGCCCGGAGTAGCATCTCTACTCCTAATGGAGCAGTTGGTGAATAGTCTCGATGGTTTATTTTCGCTGGGTTTTTTCGTCTCTCCTCCCACCCCCTCCCACCCTGGTCCATCGGTTTATTTTTCTCTCCACTCTTTATTACAACCAGAACTTTCCTAACGTATAACAAATCACGGATCTAACTTCCTTAAATTATGCAAATCAATCGATTCCTTCTATTGTTTCAATTTGTCTTAGGAAACAAATAACAGATTTTCAGGAAACAAATAATATATTTTAATCTAACTTTCCTAACTTATCTAAATCAATCGATTTCTCTCATTAGTGAAATTTCTTTTAGGAAACAAATAACAGACACGTCACAAACTTTCCTCCCAATAAATAGTTTCTTAACATTTGCAAACTTTCCTAATCAGACACGTCACAAACGGGCAGGTACTGATATCACGTTACCAAACAATAAAACCCCATTTGCATAGAAATTAGTTCAAAAATCCTAACTTTTCTAAATTTTTTACCTTTCCTTAATAACAACCAATATTTCCTATGTTTTCCACCTATAGAAGGAAATCACCTCTCCATCGATATTAGCATTTTTTGGAATGAGATCTCCAGGTTATGATTTCTTTTGCGATTCTTTCCAATTGTGACCTCTCCTTCCGCTCCGGCTCCTTCTCGCATAAACACCTCCACCACAGCAGGCTGACGCCACCCCAGACCTCCTGCCTCTCCACACCTTATCCGCCACCTCCTCCTCGTACTCCATTGACAATCCCTCCGCCATGTTTGTCCACGGCGGTGTCGAGGACATGGCGCAGCAGCGTACCAGCGATAGAGCAGTGATAATCCCCAAGTGCAAGGAATCATCATAGCAATTTCCAAAGGTGGAAGTGATAAGTATGGAGTGTCGAACCCACAAGGAGCTAAAGGTAAGATCAATATTCTCTCAAGCCCTATCTGCCACTGATACGACTCTACGTACACCGAACGTTTGCTTCCAACTAGCAACGATAAATAAAACTATGTTGTGGGTATGAAGAGGATAACTTTGTATGATATCGGAGATATAAAATATAAAAGTAGGTGTTGTTATCATAAAGTTAGAATATATTACTAAATATTATAAATAGCGAGTGTGTAATAATGGTGGATCGGTATGCGGAATTGTCCTAGGCAATCGTTAACAAGACCGGTAATCACTATTGCAGTTTCATATGAGGGAGAGGCATGAGCTAACATACTTTCTCTACTTGGATCATATGCACTTATGATTGGAACTCTAGCAAGCATCCGCAACTACTAAAGATCATTAAGGTAAAACCCAACCATAGCATTAAAGCATCAAGTCCTCTTTATTCCCATACGCAACAACCCCCTTACTCGGGTTTGTGTTCCAGTCACTCACCAACCCACTATAAGCGAATCATGAACGTTATTGCAACACCCTACAGCGGGAACCCCTCATGCTTGCGCGACATGGAGGGCATCATAGGACAGTATCAACGTAAAACATACAACTCATACCAATCTAGATTATCAATTAACCCAAAGACAAAAGATATCTACTCAAAACATCATAGGATGGCAACACATCATTGGATCATAATATGTGGCATAAAGCACCATATTCAAGTAGGGATTACAGCGGGGTGCGGGAGAGTGGACCGCGTAAAAGAGATGAGGGTGATGATGATGATGGTGATGTTGATGAAGACGATCACCGTGGCGATGATTCCCCTCCCGATGGCACTTCGGTGCCACCGAGAGAGAGGACGAGAGGTTCTCCCCCTTGTGCCTCCTCCTCCATGGCCTCCCCCTAGATAGGGAGAGGTTCTCCCTCTGGTCCTTGGCCTTCATGGTGATGATGGCCCCTCCGGGATCCTCCTCCATGCCCTCCGGTGATGACGGCCCCCTCCGGCAGGGTGCTAGAGAGGGCCTAGATTGGTTTTCGATGGCTACGGAGGTTTCTGGCGGCGGAACTCCTGATCTAGGTTAATTTTCCGAGGTTTCTGTATTTATAGGAATTTTTGGCGTCGGTCTCACGTCAAGGAGGTGCCCGAGGCATCCACGAGGCAGGACCACACGCCCGGGGGGTGGGCGCGCCCCCCACCCTCGTGGACGCCCCAGGACTCTCCTGGCCCAACTCTTTTACTCCGGGGGTCTTCTTTTGGTCCATAAAAAATCATCAAAAATTGGCACGTCAATTGGACTCTGTTTGATATTCCTTTTCTGTAAAACTCAAAAACAAGGAAAAAACAGAAACTGGCACTGGGCACTAGGTTAATAGGCTAGTCCCAAAAATCATATAAATTAGCATATAAATGCATATAAAACATCCAAGGTTGATAACATAATAGCATGAATACTTCATAAATTATAGATACGTTGGAGACGTATCATGCAGCGCATAGCAGCAGGAAGCAGCACGCAGCAGGCGAGGCAAGCGGCCGGCGTGGCTGAGGGGGCGGCCGACAGAAGATGGCTGTGACTGGAGGGGCGCGAGGCAGGGGCGCGACTGCGGGGCGAGCGAAGGGATAGGAGGCAGCAGACGGGGCGAGCGCAGCTAGCGAGAGTGTGGCGCGTGGCCGGGGTGTGCGTCGTGCGGGTCACAGTGGTGCGGTGGTTGCGACGAGCCGACGGCAGTGGCGGACGCGATCGACGCGGTGTGGCACAAGCGTGGGCATGGAGAGGGAGTGGCCCCGCGGGCGCGGAAGAAGAGCAACAGGCTCGGGCATGGGCGCGCATAGGAGCGGGCATGTGCCACGGTGTCAATCCGAGGAGCTCGGTGGCTACCCCTGCAATGGCCATGGCAGACGGCGGTTCTCGGCCATGGCGAAATACTTAACGAGAGCAAACAAGAGGGGAAACAGGGAAAAGTCAAGAGGAGATCACGGCGGTGTCAATAGCGCCCTAGGGGAAGACAGGGGAGCTCGGGGCGGCGCGGATCGAACGGCAATGTTACGGTGGCCGAAGGTTGAGGAAGACGACAGCGACGTCGATGCGGGGGTGCTGGACTTGATCTCATTGGCGTAGACGAAGTAGCGGAGGAGTTCAGAGCTCCTCGACAAGCTTCTAGCCTACAGGGAGAGCAGTGGCTGTGTAGACGGGGTCGGTCATGGTGGCCGTGGCGTCTGATTTCGTCCAGATCGACGGAATCGAGCGAGCGAGAAGGAGAAGTGGATCTGGGAGAGGGCGTCGAGGAGTGAGGCCATGGGGGGCAGGGCGTCACCCATTCCCCTTCTATGCCGGCGAGGTGGTCGGGCGGGAGCTCGGCTCTGCAGCGACGCGGCTCGAGGAAATATAAGTTGTTGTGACAAATATAATACACATATTCATATTGTTATGCACTAGCGCGTGTGCATGTGAAATAGATGTCTTATGATCCCGTACCCAATAAAATGGATATGTGTGTGTGTTAAAGAGAGGGAGAGCGGAAGAGAGAGTGAGGAAAAGGAAGGGAGAGAGTGTGTGAGAATTTGATAATAAAAAATATCATCAATGTCACTTGATATGTATGTAAATATTAAATGTAATATTAACATAATTGATATTGAACTCTAATGTGGTTCGTTCAGGTTTTTCAATCAGCCGAACTGCGGAAGCAAAACTCCACCCAGTTCCCCTCTTCACTCCACGCCGTGCTCCCTCTCTTTCCCCTCTCCCCGATCTCCGTCTCCGTCTCCGTCCTCCCGCCGCTGCCGCCATGGACGGCGTCATCGGCCAGGTAAACAATCTCCGGCCTGTCGCACTCCGCCTGCTTCCTCATCTCCTTTTCTCTGACTTGCTGCGGCGTGCCCCAACGATCGCAGATCTTGGAGAAGCAGGTCCTGTCGGCCGCGAAGGCGGTCGAGGACAAGCTAGATGAGCAGATCGCCGCGCTCGAGCGGCTCGACCCGGACGACATCGAGGCGCTCCGCGAGCGCCGGATGCTGCAGATGCGCCGCGCGGCCGAGCGCCGGGCCAAGTGGCGCGCCCTGGGGCACGGCGAGTATACGGAGGTCCCCGAGAAAGAGTTCTTCTCCACCGCCAAGGCCAGCGAGCGCATGGTGTGCCACTTCTACCGCGACAACTGGCCGTGCAAGGTGCGCTCCTTTCCTGGCTAACTTCTTTTCATTTCATTCATTCCTGTACAGTACATGTTTAGATCGGATTGTTTAGATGTGGATCTCGTGGTAAATCATCTTCGATTGGCAATGATATTGCTGTGCATTTCGTAGATCAGGATATCTTGAGCTGGGCTAATGCTTTTGTTTCGACCTGGTTCTTTACCCAACCCCTGAAATTGCTGTGGGATCTGCAGTACGAATGTCGGCTGCTCCATTTGTACTGCACAAGCCATGCCCTTTAATTTCCTATTATCAATTTGTTGACTCGCCAACTTAGCACTTCTCACTCCTTCCAAGTTCCAACTTAAGTTACTTGCCATTTATGAGTTAAATGGAACTTGAATAATTGTTTGGCCGGCCCACTCTCAAATGCTTGGTGTCTGATTATTATTTATGGAGTCCAACATCCTTGTGTTTGCGAAAATGCGTGAGGGCTGCTGTCCTAGAGGTGAAGTCCATACTTGTTGGACGAATTTTATCTATTAAGTGGACCTGCAAGTGCCATTACGTACTAGTTCTATTCACGTTTAGATTTAGATGTCCTTTTGGGATTTGGCACAAGAACTAAGCAGAGAGTTGAAAATACACTACCAACCCTCAACAAAGTCCATATACCAAGCAACCCCTCAACAAAGTCCAGACTAACATGGTACCAAGCAAAGTCTGGAACATGGAGAGGTTGTAGTAGTCCAGGGTACTTAGAGTGCTCTTGTTTATCGATTTGACAAGTGGGACATTGTTTGATGAAATCAAGAATGTCTTGTTTCATACAAGACCAACGGAAAAGGAGCCTAATCCTTTGGTATGTAGCTCTACAGCCTGAATGCCCACACAACTCTAAATTATGTAGTGCAGAGATTAATTTGTTTCTGAGTGCACTGTGGCTCTGTTTTATATGTGAGCATCCTTGCTTGAAAGTATAATTGGGAAGGTAGTGGTCAGCTGGTGATCAGATCTTTGCATCTCAGATCCTGGTTGTAGCTAGCAACCACTTCAGCAATCCAAGCTGCTTTTGCAGTACTAGCAAATAGAGTGCAATTTGTGCTGAACTCTAGAGAGAGTGCTGGCTACTCTGTTTTGTTGCATTTATTTTATATTTAATGGTATAATTATAGCCCAGTAATTTGACCAATAGCTTGTGTAGAATGCCCTCTCTCAGTTTCTGCTCTTGGATGTACTTGCGACTCTGTTGAACTGTTCTGGTGATCAAGGAAGAAGTAGCAAAATAGTGTTTCCATTTTTGTTAATGCTTCAATGATGGCCATTGCCTCTTTATAACAAGTGGAGAGAGCAGATGCCCTAGGAACAATTGTTTTGCTGAAAAAAGAGATATGCCTGCCACCATGCATGAGACTGCACGAATACCATAAGCACATGTCTCTGCATCTACTATAAATTGTTTTGTAAAGTCAGGCAGGACTAACACATGTGCTTGAGTCATTTTATGTTGAGTGTTGAATGCATCTTGCTGTTGAAAATTGCCCTTTTCAGGACTGTGAAAAGAGGTTTGCATTCTGGATGAATCTCCTATGTTAACCAGGGAGGCTTAAAAAACTTATGAGCTGAGTAATATTTTTTGGGGGTGGCCAATTGATAATTGCTTCAAAATATCAATGGATCAGTAACAGCTCTGTCTCCAGAGAGAGATTTAGGGGGATTTGGGAGGGATTTGCAATGATTCACTCTTGGCTTTGTGCATATCCAGAGCGTGTCCACTTGTGCTTGTGTTTAGAAGTCAAAACTCAGCCCTGACTTCATCTCAGAATTATTTGAGTCCTTGAAGAATTTTCCTTCTAGAAGCAGCTATTGGTGGGATGCTATGCTGGAAAGTTGAACTTAACTTGATCATCTCGCAACATGAAGAGTGCTGGAGGTGCCAAGATACAGCTTGGTGAAATTTTTAGGTTTTTTTTTTACGATTTTTTAAAATAGGGTTTGGACAAAGTTCACTTTTGTTGGTTTCTTTTTTATAATTTTAGTTCAAGAATTTTGAACAAAACAAGTGGCTGGTTTGAACACTAGAGATCAAGGATATGGCAATGAAGGTTGGATTAAATTTCGAGAATTTTTGAAAGAAAAATATATGTGAGACGTTGTCATGTAGATTGTTTGAGAATTTTGGTTCATGTCAATTTTTGAACATAAGCTTGAACCATTTTTTCTTCTTCTTGAATGCACATCTAAGTGTGCCATTGTGACTCAGAAGAACGCTGTGACGGTGCTGCAAGTATTTGTTCCTATTTAGTGCCTTTATGTTGTTTTTGTCATGTGGCGCTGATGATAGCAGTGTTATTTAGCTGAAATTTGCATTGTCCAAAAGTATTTTCTTACATCTCTCCTCTATTGGGTTGCAGGTTATGGACAAACACATGTCGATTCTCGCTAAACAGCATGTAGAAACACGGTTTATCAAAGTCCATGCTGAAAAGGCTCCCTTTCTGACCGAAAAACTAAGGGTTGTTGTGCTCCCAACTCTTGCCCTAGTGAAGAATGCCAAGGTTGAGGATTATGTGGTAAGACTGCTCTTAACAGTTTGTTCTTCAGCTGTGTGAAAAATCAAAAATGTCATCAGGCGTGTGTAACTATTATTCTGCTACTACCAGGTTGGATTTGATGAGCTGGGTGGTAAAGATGACTTCAGCACTGAGGATCTGGAGGAACGCATTGCCAAAGCTCAAGTGATCTTCCTCGACGGAGAGGGGCCTGCAAATCCTTCCAAGCAAGCTGCTGCCAGCAAGCGAAGCGTTCGACAATCAGATACTGGCAACTCAGACTCAGACTAGTTCTGTTCCTGTATTGAAGGCGTGTGCGCCAAGGATTTTTATATATAGGATTTATGCCAAGCTGTTATGCTATCCTTACTAGTAATAGGAAAGAAGTTTGTGTTTCGATGGCGATTTGAACCGCAATTGTCACTGTTGTAGAGTGCTCTTGTTTTTACCATGCGTCCATACCTGGTTTGGTTTGTTTATTTGAGTGGAAATGTTTTTCGTTGCTAGCAGGACTTTTCTCGCTCCATGCAATTGCCAGAAAATCGATGAATTTCTAGACAAGCAGATCAAATGATACCCTGATACGCACTATTGCTTGCGGATGGAAGTTATGACAAGTTACAAATCTGAAAAGCCCTCTAACTATGTGCTCTTGTAGAATGTCACATTGCTTATATGTACTGTATAACGAGTTTGCCTGGGCACAGGCTGTATAGTATACATCAATAAATTCTGTACAACAATGCTGCATCTACTGGTGGACAGCATTCCCTTCGCCACATGAAGAAGTGACATTTCCGTATGTGGTCTTTAAATATATTTTTGATCACTTGTTCCATTGCAACATACACATATAAACAACAAAAATTACAAAATTATAATACTACAATGCTAAAAAGAACACTTCTCAAGGCTTATTCATGCATATGATTTTAAGTTGAATATTTGAAATGATATTGATGGTCAAAGACTTGTGACACTTCCCAAATGTCACTTTTTATGTGTGGAGGGAGTATGATGCTTTAGATTACATCGGTTGAATGATGTTGCACAAGAGGAAAAGAACTTTGAGGATCTCTTTGGTATGTGTGTTGTTATTTGGACCTGAACTACAACATTGTTAGTTATCCGTCTGTAAGAAAGTTTTCCCTAATGCTCTTTGGTTGGCGTCATAACACGTGTTGAGACTGGAATATCTAGGTATGGAGGGAGTACAATGCTAAAAAAACACTTCTCAAGGTTTATTCATGCATATGATTTCGAAGTTGAATATTTAAAACGATATCGATGGCCACGACTCGAGACATTCCCCAAATGTCACTTTTTGTGTGTGTGCGGAGGGAGTACGATGCTTGAGATTACATTGGTTGAATGATCTTGCAAAAATAACTTCCATGATCTCTTTGGTATGTGCTGTTATTTGGACCCGAACTATAACAAAGTTTAGTTTCAACACTAATAGTTATCCGTCTGTAAGAAAGTTTTCCCTACTGCTCTCTAGCTGGTTGTTATTTGGACCCGGACTATAACAAAGTTAGTTTCAACACTAATAGTTATCCGTCTGTAAGAAAGTTTTCCCTACTGCTCTCTAGCTGGTGTCATAACTGATCTCCGGTGGCTTTAGCTTCACTGATGGTCTCACTACTCATTACTGATGACCTGGTAGTCATCGCTCATGAATGGAGAAGTCGGGAAATACCAAACTGGTGGCCTTTTTGGATACCGTAGTCTATGTGTGAATTCCTAGATTAAGTCAGCACAGACGACGCCGTCATCGTAGTTGATGAGAACAGCTCCCCTCCCATGCAAGCAACAGGTCTAGGACTTGAACCCCTCCTAACCATCCAACCATAGTCTATAGGCATAACTTTTGTTTCAGACTTTTTATATTTGTAGGTTGGTTCGGCCGGGCTTTTGTATGTAGTTTCATATTTATATGGAGCCGAGGAGAGTCCCCCGGTTTTTAATATTAAAAAATGACTTGCGGGCTATGACGTACTCCCTCCGTTTTGAAATATAAGTCTTTTTAGTGATTTCACTATAAACTAAGGTGGTGTTTGGTTCTCTAGTCCTAGGACTTTTTCTAGTCCCAACTAAAAAGTCCCTAGTCTCTAAAAAGTCTCTCCCTATTTGTTTTCAGAGACTAAAAAATCCCTAGTCTCTTCCTAGAGATTATTAAATGACCATGTTGCCTCTAGTATATAGAAAAATAACAATCAAACAACACCATGAGATGGCGAACCAATGGGTGCATGGAGGAGCATTGTTGGAAAAGTCTTCAAAAGACTCTCCTTGAGAGTCTTCTTCATTTAGTCCCAAATGTCTAGTTTAGTTCCTAAAAAGTTCCTCCCATTTGGTAAAAAAGTCTCTAAGAGGGACTTTTTCTAGTCCCTACACAAAAAAATCCCTGAAAACAAACATCCCCTAAATACGAATGTACTATATAGACATATTTTAAATTGTAGATTTATTTATTTTGCTTCGTATGTAGTTCATAGTGGAATCTCTAAAAAGAGTTATATTTAGAAACAGAGTGAGTATATTTGATGGACCTGTGACGTCTAAACAACGCGTGTGTTTACTCCTGCCATGGAATTTCGCACCGTATATGTGTGGTGTGAAGCACGATTCGAAGGTCAAGACCCGGACTCCGCGAGTTCATTCCTCGGACTTCCGAACAGCACGGCGGCACCCACACGAGCTTCAGGTTTCAAAGAAGAACCAAAAGGTGGCCGGCGCCGGTGCGCCTCCCACACCAGATCCCTTGCTGTCATGTCCATTTCCTCTGTTCCAGCACGAGCACAGCAGAGTCGGGCACCGGCACGCACCGTCCGTCCGTCCGTCCAAGCCTTGTTGACCGTTTCTTCCACGCGCCGCAGCAGAAGGGACGGTCAGCCTTCCAGTCCAGCACGAGAATTTCCAACCTTGTTGGCTGCCAAGAACGGGGCACACGGACACGGTGTACCGGCCAACTGCACGCCACCAGATTCTTCTCCCCATATAGGGAAAAGTCTGAATAAAACCTCGAGCTCGTAGTTCCCGTCCAAATCAGACCCTTACCTTTTAATCCCTGAAATCAGTACCCCGTACTCATCAATCCCAGTCAATCCTAACCTTGCAAAATTCTAGACTAGTTTGGTGCACTAGGAAAACGCAATCCCCACCGGGATCATCCTCTTCTCTCACTAACTTGGTGAAGCTACAGTCAGATCCATCAATCTGCATCTGCATGACGCACGCACACACAATGAAACGACGTGGCAGCTCGGTGATGTTGGTGCCGTGTGCAGCTCCGGGAGTGGTTGTGCGACGGCAGACGAGGGGCTTGTCGGCCGGCCAGTGGCGTGCAGCCCTGGGAAACATCTTTACCTAGCTGATTGAGCGCACGAGAGCTTGCAGAGCGCAGCTTCACGGAGAGGAAATGAGGAAGACGACAACAATGGCGGTGGTGCTTGATCGAGCGAGTGTGGCTGGTGTCGTCGCAGTAGCTAGCCCGACATGCTAACGACGATGGTGGATGGAGCACGGGAAACACGAGATCCACATGGACATCACCGTCCGTACCGTATGCACGCGTCCAGGCTAGGCAGAGTGTCCCCGCGGGGCGTGAGTGTTCCGCCGAGTTGTGCTACTCCAGAAGCCCAGATCAACCAAGCATCCAGGATAGTAGTTTGCTGCACGTGGAAAGCTAGCTAGCCTCAAGGATCCATCAGGTGCTTTCTCTACACTTGCGTACGTGCACCTTCAAATTTGACCAATCGATCAACCATGCTTCAGTTCAGTAGTTAGGATCTTGGGGCAGACCATGACAAAGCCTAGGAAGTTGAGCGCGGGCCGGCGGCCTAGGCGCTCCACAGCGCCAATGAGGCGACGCCACACACGACGGCAACCACCTCCGGTGTCTAGTACGATCAAAGCTCCCAGACCTCTCCCTGCCCCTTCAATTCTGGCTGGCCATCTCGCATCTTTTTCTTATCGCAGACGTTTCAACAAAGGAGAGAACGACAGGGAGGACGAGGTAGAGGAGAGGGATGGATATGACATGCGGACCTAGTATTGTCGGTGAGAGTAGCAGGTGAACCTAGTTGCGATTGCCTTTTTCCCGGTGTGCCAAACAGGTTGAAGGTCGATATTAACCGGGATCGACAAGTATGGGGTGCCGATTTCAGGGATTAGAAGGTGAGGGTTCAATTTCGATAGGGCGTACGAGTTCAAGGTTTTTTTCAGACTTTACTCCCCCATATATACACACATCAGATGACTCACACAAGTGGTGGACTAGCACCAGCACCAGACTGCAATCTCCACACCCAGAACCAGGCGATTCCGGGAGACACCTGCGTGCATGCGTGCTCCGTAAGTCCGTAGAGTTTTCAGAGGATCGAGATCTCAGGGCACGTCCTTTGCTTCTTGGAAGCCATGGACGCCCACCGTAACCGCAGCTTCTTCTTCGTCGTCGTCGTTGCTGCCGCTGCGATGTTCACCATGAGCTTCGTGGGGTGTGCCGACGCCGTGAGGCCCATGCCATCGAGCCCGGCGTCCTCCACCACGGCGTCCGCGCTGGTGTCGTCGTTGATGGAGATGCTACCCATGGGGCCCAGCGGAGGAGGCGCGGGGCACTGATCCGCTCAAGTTGATCGCTAGCGAGAAGCGTAGTTTAGAGGTCTACAAAGTGTATGAACGATTTCCAATTTTTAGGACCTACTTAACACACTTGAAATACTTTTAGGAGCTTTAGTGTAATTTACTCTTTAGAATACATATGATCTTTGAGGAACTCACATTTCACAAACACTCGTCATCGGAGATAATAAGCTTGATACGCATATGCTCAATAAATAACTTCCCTGGATTTGGAAGCAAAAGGCCACGATGTGTCTCCAATGTCTAGCCATATCCCACCACTTTTCATCTCCTTGTCCAACTAGCAGGGAGGGGAATGACCACAAGAATCGAGAAGCATTAGGCCTCCTTTGGTTTGGAGGAATTTCATAGGAATTCTAGAAGATATGATTCTTATAGAATTTTTTTCTTTTATTTAGAGCTCTTTGGTTCATAGGAATAGATTCCTACTCCTACATAGGATTGGTTCCTATCCTTTACGTTTCATAGGAAAATAAAAATTAGCCTAGACTCAATGAATTTTTTTTTTAGTGTCAACCAAATGACATCTCGTTTTCTATTCCTACTCATAGGATTTGAGATACATGTCATCTCATTTCCTACAAATTTTCTATTTCTGCGATAATCCTATCCTTAACGTGTGCATCAAAAGGGCTCACTCGCGCATGCCATGTCGGCAGAGGAACACAATGAAAAGAAAAGAGGAAAAAGCGAACGCAGCGCGAGATTGGTTGCTAGGCGCGTCGGTCAAGTCGTCGCTTCATCTGAAAGAAAGAGAGAGAACGTGAAAACGCCTTGAACTCCACCCCTTCTCTCAAGTCACACGCAACCTCTCCTTTCCTCTCCAATCTCTCTCGTTTTTCATTCACATCGGCAAGGGTTGCCGCCGCCGCCGCGCTCACGCCCCAAATTTTCTCCCCCCTTCCCCGATCCCGCAGCGGCCGCCTCTGCTGCTCCTGCGCATGGTCGCCGCCGCCTCTGCTGCTCCCGCGCGTGGTCGTCGCGGCCTCTCCTCCCACCTCAGCGTACAACCGCCTCAGCGCCTCTTCCTCTTCATCTCAGAAGACGGCATCGAGTGCGGCCGTCCCGTGCTCTCTTTCCCTCCCAGGTCGACCCAGGAGGAGCTCGAGCGGCAGAGCTGGTCCACGGCGCCGTCGTTGTTGGCAGGAGCGTGAGCGCAGACACAGTCGGCTCCCTCCGGCTTTCGTGTCGCCGTCCATCAACCCGTGAGGTCAGTCCCTGCGTCCTCGCCTCAATCCTCTCTCGCTGTCACGGATGCCTTCTCCTCCGTCCTCTCAATGTTTTGCGATGAACTGGCTGAAAAATGCCTGCATGTCACAGCAGACCCGTACCGAAAGCATGTGTGTGGTACTGGTATGTGCCTGCACAGGACCTCCAAATTTGATTTAAGTATCAGTAATACTGATTAGAGTTTACATGAGAAAATACACTTATTTACTGTTGGGAATCTACTTCACGCTGTCAGGCACCTTCCTCCTTTCTCTCCTCTACAGATTGATACGACTGTATATGTATACGTTTTACTGTCAATTAATCTCCCCCACCTTTTACACTTTTTAATGCATAATGAATTTTGTGGTGTTGTTCTTTATAATAAAAACAATCTTCGCAGGAAGAGATATATCGATGGCCAAGAACTCCTGGAGCACCCGCTCGGTTCATCTCATGTTCTCATGCTCTCCTTTTTCTTCTGATCTTATGGAAGTTGTGCTATGATCATATATCATCTTCTACTCTGTACATGTTTGTTCGAATTCATGAGGTTGCAAGAATTAAGAAAATTACAACACCAATTCTATTGTACTAATCAATGCGCTTATGCTACTATGCAGGTATATTCGCAGGTTAGTTGCATGGATAAGGCCTTCCCAAGTAAGTTTTGCCTTGAAAGTTAGATACCACTTCATGTTGTAAAGCAGACAAAATGTTAATGATCTGAGATTAACACTCCAGCCGGGCACGCCCAAGAACGCCTCCTGCAGGAGGGCGCCGCCGCCGTCCCGACCAGCACTCCCCCGCCGTCCTACCACGCCCGGACCGCCACGGCAGGTTGGGCCGCAGGAGCAAGGGAGATGGTCGATGGGGAGACGGCCCCGCCTCTGATGCAGCTGGAGACGCTGCTGGCGCTCGGCCTGGACCAGCGCATGGCGGAGAACGCGCTGGTCAACAGCAAAGTCACCTAGCCTCCGTCATAGCCAAGGTAAACAACATATCCTATCCTTACACTTGTAGCCTTCATGGTATGTTCACGTAACTCTATTTTGCTTGCACATTATTTTGCCCTGCACATTGTTTTGCCCATAGTGAAAATTTGCTTGAACAACTCATAGTAATTTAATTTTCCTATTCATAAGGAAATATCGTACTCATATTATCTGTGCGATTGATGTGATTGTATTTGCATCTTGATATGTTATACTAAACCTACAGTATGAACTCTGAACTCTGCTTTCCAACTTCATCAAATGTCCCCATCGTGTTCTACAGAAAGGACAAGGAAAAGCCGAATTGGTTTGTTGATTCATACGCATTATACCACACATGTTCAGTCCAGTTCAGTTCAGTTGGGTGTGAAATTTATGCTCAAATTTCTGCAACTCTGTAGTTCAGTTGTACGAATAGTGGAGTAGTGTGTTATTGATGCGTGTTGCAGTGAGCAGACAAAGGAGGTGTTGTTCCTTATGAATCATATCGCAAATGCAATCACAGAGCTGTGATTCGGAACTTTATTGTTGTTGTTTGCAGAACCAGGGCAAATATGGGAGCTCCATCAAGGCTTTGGTGAGCAAACTGTGTCCTTGCTCAGCCTCTCTCGTGTTGATTGGGCATCTTGGAATTTTATTTTGGCAACTTGGCCAACTGGTCTTCCAACAATCAGCAGTAGCAGGTCCAGTGCCTGATAACAGAACAAGCGATTGCGATCGTTTCTATCTCCCACTGGTATACATGTCTTTAATTCATAGTTTATTATACAGAGTTGGCTTTACTTAATTTTAAAAAAAATTCTCCATGAACTATGAATAGTTTCCTACTAGAATATTGGGAAAATTGAAATGAGTGGTGGTTATTCGCTTACCTGTGGAAGAACAGAAGAAAGGGCGCAGTAGAAAGAGTTTTGATTTCACATATTGTGTTCCATGCTTCGTAGATATGCTAGCATGGCTGCCTTGCAGATTATGCAAATGTGTAGTTCTCATGTATCGATGCGCTGCAGTTCGTCTGTATTTACCTGCTCAAAGGTCTTTGCTTAAATAATTCTAGGGAGGTCACTTGATCTGGACTCCCTCTTCCTCCACTACAGCGGCCGAAACCTGCAGTTGCTGCCGGCTGAGACCGGCCAGGACGCCGACAACGGATTTGACTCCTACACCAATCTCATCAAGGTAGGGTGGAAATTCCTCTTAACTCTTTTGTGAGTTGTTGCTATCTGATTGTTGTAAGGTTGCCGGCTTAATCAGATGATATCATTTAGGATTAGTCTATTCATGAATTATTACCTGAGATGTTGGTTTGCCTGATGTTAATTCAGATGCCAAATGAGTACGATTTAAGCTCTTTTGCTTAGAATTGACTGACAAGTGAATGAGTTGATCATGCGATCGTAGCAGTTGACTCACTTTGGCAAGATGATCCTAATTACATGCTCAGTGGAATGCCAGAGTTGCATAAATTGTCTTTTACGAATTTAGCATTAGTTCCTTCTGTTGGTAAATGGAACTTCTATATGTTGTTTCATTACTACATAGTATGTGATTATTTTAGACAATTAACTATTGTTAAGCATTTTAAACATGCTGCTGCACTTGTTACCCTGTATTAACTTATTTGATATGTTTTTAGATGTGGATTATGGCTGTGGATCTTGTCGTATTCATCAGGATCATAAGAACAATGTGATTTGTCCATTTATTGATACTTTATGATTTCTTTTGCCCACGGGGGTTTTAAGTTTTGTTCGTCTGTCGGACAGAGGGTTATTAAGCTTTCTATCAGGAAGATACCAGATGGACATCACGTGCTTTCCTGTTTAGCTACGCAAATTACTAAACTTGAATGTCCTTATGTTGTCTTGCAAGAGGAACAACAGAAAATTCCTATTTCACTGATTGTTATAGTTGACAGTCCGGTTTATTTCTCCGATTTGATGTAGGAAATGGATTGGAAGTTTCAGTCTTTCAGTACTGATTTTCTTTCTTCCCTTCATTAGCTGAATTTTCGGTTAGGGAAGGAAGGATAAAATATTGTCCAGAACAACCTAAGTGAGTTTAGTGAATGCTGACCACATTCTTACAATTCATAAGTATATGAAGAAGTGTTTCACACTTTCACTTTGATCCCTTTTTGGGTTACAAGCATACTTACCCAATGTTCATGAAAATGTTAAAGCCTAAAGCACTATCACTCTGCTATCTTTGGCTAATAATTTAATTTTGCTTTTGATCATATATCACTACAGGTTGTTGTTGGAAAGTCAAAAAGCTACACGGGAAGACCTTCGACAATAATTTCAGCCCCAAAGGAACAAAGGTGGCGACGCCGTTATCACGGCAAGCAAGCTGGCATTCAGTTCAGCTTCTTGACGCGGTTCGGCATGATGGCGGCGCAGATGAAGGCATTCCTCGACTCCACTGGCGCCTCCGGCAGGAGCAGAGCATCTCCGGCAATCTCGCAGGCGTCTTCTTTGCCACGGGCACCTAGGGCTGGCACGCCATTGTAAAGATGGGTTAAGCGTATGCCTTAGCAGGGACGCGTTGCGTGTTATTTATAGGCACAAGAGATTACAGGGTTTAGGTAGTTAGGTTGTTGTAGGATTGATCTCCAAGTCATAATCTATACAAAGGATAGAGATCAACCTAAACATATCCTAACTACCTGATTACAACACGCACATGCCCACACATATATACGGTTTATATGTACACTGTATACATCCTATAATACATACTTTAACACGCCCCCTCAATCACAACTTTAACAAG